TCCCAGAGCCGCCCCATTCACCATTCCCACGGCGACGGCCAGTGAGGCCAGGCAGGCTAGAAGAGGGGCCACTCACACTCTGCACTGCCCTGGGTGGGCTGAATGTCCCTTCCTACTCATATTAAAACTAACTGCACGACAGTCTTGAGTCGCTAAGGCCCTGCCTTGAGGTGATGGTGTGCAGCCACTGTCCAGGGGGCAGCTGTGGTCACCCTCCCTGTCCTGCCCTTCCCCCTGTTGAGGACAAACCACAAAGGCTAGCCCAGGCCCGAAGCCCTGCAACACCTGTGCCACACCTGTGCTCTCTGCAACCTTCATGCCTTGGCACTCTGCTACAGCTCAGAAGATGGCCCAAGACAGTCCCCAGGGTGGGCGCAGTGGTGACACCTACCACTCCAGGCTGTCCCCCTGGTGCAGAGCACGCAGGGCAGCATCCGGGTTCTGGTCATGGAAGTAGATGGAGGCGGCCATGAGCAGGAAGGTAGTGTTGGTCACGTCCACGCTTCTGCTCATCTCCCGGTCTAGCTCAGCCACAATGGCGTCCCTGCAAGATAGGCTGCTCAGGGCCCAGCCCAGGGGCAGGAGAGGTGGCCTCGCCTTGAGGACGGGAAGGTCTCAGAGGGTGAGCCAGGCCCCCAGGGCACTTGGTGCAGGCGGCAGTGACAAGCAGCCCCAACAGGGGGTGCCGGCCCTGATGCCATGCCAACCTCGTCATCTTCCCGTAATGCACCTCTCACCCCTTACACAGATAGGGAAACTGAGGCCGGGGGAAGTGGGACCAGGTGCGCCAGGCCTCACGAGGGAAGCTGTGGTGTGGGAGGGGCACAGACAGCCTACAAGTGAGCCAACTTCCAGTTCCTGCGGTCTGAGTGCTGTGTGGCGAGCGCCATGCTGGGCTCAGGGCCTCCCAGCACCCAGGAGGCAGGGACCACCAAGAACACAGGGCCAGGGCACGTGCTGACGAGAGCACTGGAAGGTCAGGTCTTTGCAAGTGTGTGCCTTGTTCTTCCTGTGCAAGAGGAGGGGGTGCTCCTGGGACCCCATAGCACAACCCATACCTCTCCGAAGCCTGCCTGAGAAGACAGGTTGTATGACCTACACGCTACACGCCAGCGCCCCAAAGCCCTTGGAAGCAGGGCCATCACTGCCCTCACTTCAGGAGAGGGACACCGAGGCACCAGGTGGTGGGGCGGGGAGGAGGGACGCTCTGCCCTTCAGCCCCCAGGCTTAGGACCAACAGGCCTTGAGGGGATCCTGTGGCCTGGTCCACCCGCCCCAGGGCTGGGCCTCCCTCACCTGCGGGTCTCGCTGGCAAGGTACTCAGCAAATGTGCGCACGGCCTGGAGTTCGGGGGCCGCAGAGGGTCGGATCTCATCCAGGACCACGCCAAACTTCCTCTGTGACAGGGACAAACTGGATTCAGCCCTTGCTATGTCCTCTGTCTGCAGGCAGGAGGGGCCCTGCTCTGTCCTGGCCTGCCTAGGCCCTTTGACTCCGCCTGCATCATTCCCAGCACAGCACACAGTGGCACCTGTCACAGGCAGTACCTGTCAGGCCATGCTGCCCACTGCTCTAGCTGGGGGGCCCTAGCAGGTCCCTTCCCAGCTGTCCACCCCTGGTGGCAAGGGGCAGGTGGAGGTGGGCGCCCCTCCCGGGGCAGGGCAGTGTCAGCATGGAGGACAGGGACCTGGGCACAGGATTTTATGAAACAGGACGCCCCCACCCCATCCCATCTCTCTCTTGTCCAACGGGCTCTCCTCTGATGCCTGGCTGAGGCTGTAGTCACCTATGGAACTAGCAGGCCTGCCCCTCACCATATTCCATCCTGGATGGCTGACATTTCTATTGTCATTTTTTTTTTTTTTGACACAGGGTCTCCTGTAGCCGGGCCTGGCCTCTCAGCTCTCAATCCTCCTGCCTCTGTCTACTAAGTGCTGGCGTGAATGAACACGAGAACACACTCTTACTGCATTACCAGCACAGAGATGCATTTAAAAACATTAGTGAAGCCAGGCATGGTGGCACCCCCCGAAATCCCAGCACTCAGAAAGCTGAGGAAGGAGAATTGCTGGAGCCTTAGTACGTGATGGAAGCTGCAGACCAGAGTTAGCAACGATGTGCCACTCTGGTGTGCGGGCAGAGGACACCTGCTCTCCTATGGCCGGCTACACTGCTCTGTGCACCCGAGACTGCAGTAAGGCTACACTGACGAGCTATTTAAAACCACATTTCGGGGACTGGGGTGCCACTCAGTGGTGGATCTTGGGGCGTACGTGTGAGGCCTTGGGTTCATTTCCAGCACCACAAAAAAAAAAAAAAAAAAATCAAGAAACCCCAACACAGGCCTCCTGGACCGGCTGCCCAGGCCCAGGCCCAGGCCCTTGGTGACACTAGTGGTGGCCACTCCAAGTGCTGGTGGACCCTGCAGGTCTGGGTCCCCTGCTTTGTCCACAGTTGCTCCCTCAGCCCTGCAGCCCCGGCACGTTTCGGTCAGTACCCCGTCCTGGGGCTTGCCATGCTCACCTGTGCAAGGTATGCTCTGTACAGGAAGACATCCCTCTCCACTTCTCTCTCTGGGCTTGACAGCTGTGGGGACACAGGAGGGTCAGGACAAGCAGGGTGAAGTGCACGACAGCCACACGGGGCCACCTTGGAGACCCAGAGCTGGCAGACTCCCCAGCAGAGTACAGTCTGAGCCCCAGCTCAGACCTCAGTTGCCTGTGACCCCAGGTGGCCCAAGGGTAGCCCCAGCTGTGGGTGCCACTGTGTGGAAGGCGCCTGGTCTTGTCTGCCTGACGTGGCCCTAGAGGCTTGATCATCACCCCAGCTGTACCAAGCTACAGAGATGGCACCTCGAGTGCTGCACTCGCGGCCGCTCACACTCCCGCCTGCTTTCCTTTCATCATGGCCTTTTCTTTGAGACGTGGTCTCACTATGCTGCCCAGGCTTGGCCTTGAACTCCAGATCCTCTTGCCTCGGTCTCCCAAGTGCTGGGATCACAGGTGAGGCCACCGCACCCATATTTCCCTCCGCTCTTTAAAAACGACACAAAGAAATGACCCAAACATAGTATGCACATATGAATAAATAAATAAGTAGAAACGACACACACTGGAGACGAAAGCCCACCTTGCTCAGCTGCTCTGCCCTGCCATGTCCCAGCGAGGGCCTTTCTGGGAGGCCCGGCTTGGTTACCCCACATCAAGGACCTCTGCCTCCCGCCCAGGCCTGGCAGCACCCTGGGGTCCATGAGGACCCGGTCTGCAGGCCTCAGTGCAGCCACTCCGAGAGTCAGGCACCGGGAGGGAGGGGAACTCGTGCAGCACGTGCCACGGGACTGGGAGGAAGCTGAGTCCCCATCAGGCGGGAGGCTGGGGCGCTGGCTCAGAAGAGCAGCTGGGATGGTCCCCAGAGTGCTGGCTGACATCCTGGGGAGCGAACAGTAGCACAGTACAGCTCAGTGCAGGGCTCAGGGACCATGGCCCAGGCCATCTGGGGGTGGGAGAGGAAAGTGCTTGTGGGAAGGAAACCTGCCACTTCCAGGTTGCCATACCAATGGCCTCCAAAACCACAGTGCCTGGACAGGCCTGCGGTGAGTGGCCTGTCAGCTCCCTGCGCACGGGGACAAGTTCCCAGCAACGCACAGCTGGGGGCACAATAGGACCACCCATTCCCAGCTCCCAGGCCCTGGGCCTTTTCCCTAGCGTGGGGGAGACTGTAGGCAGTGAATGTGTCCTTGTCACAGGCCAGGGGAAGCCTGGCCCCACCCAACTCAGGTGGGTGTCACCAGGAGCCCAGCAGCTTCTGTGTAGGCCTGGTGCCCGTGACTTGGAGCATGGCATCTTCTAAGCAATTGTCACTCAGACGACCTGCAGAGGTGGACACCAGCAAGGACAATAGGCTGCGATCCCCACACCATCCTCACTAAAAACAAAAAAGAGCTGGGCCTGATGGCCAGTCAGCAGACAGAGGCCTCGAGTTTGAGGCCAGCCTGGGAAAACTTAGCGAGACCCTGCCTCAAAAACAAAATACAAGCTGGGCGCTGGTGACTCACACCTGTAATCCTAGCTACGCAGGACACGAGACATAAGGAGGACCGAGGTACAAATAGGCAAGACCTTATCTCAAGAAAACCCAACACAAAACAGGGCTGGCAGAACGGCTCAAGTGGTACAACGCCTGCCTAGCAAGCATGAGGCCCTGAGTTCAAACCTCAGTACTACCACAAAGACGAAACAAAGGGCTGTGTGCAGCCCACGGGGTAGAGCAGCTCATGGAGTGGCCTGGGGTCCCACTCCAGCACCCCAAGAAAAGACAGATGCTGCTGGCTCTTGGTGTCTGGGGGCAGGACGCAGTGTAGCACTGGAAGGGTCCCAGTAGGGTCAGGGCCAACTTGGCCTGGTTTGGCCCGTGTTTTTTTGTACCTTATGAGAGAATCTTCCATCTGACAGGGGACAGAAAACCCGCTGAGGGCTGCAGTGTGGGCCCGGCCAGCTGGCCAGGGCAGGGAAGGAAGGTTTGTGGGGACGATCAAGGATATATATACCCAGATGTATGGACACAGAAAGTTTTCTGAGCCAGGATCTCGATGTGGAGCCTGGGCAGCCACTGAATTCCCAGGTCAAGCGATCCTCCTACCTTGGCCTCCAGAGAAGCTGAGTCACGGGATCCCGGCCCCGCAACCCAGCTCACCGCAGTGCCTGGCCCACGGCAGGGCCCAGCGGGATGCACTAGGCCCACAACTGCTTCTAGGAACATCCAGGGTGGGGTGTGGCTCAAGTTGTGGGCCAGAACCACCTGCCTGGAAGGGACAGGAGAGCCGGGGTCGCACACAGCCCCAGCCCAGGCCTGTGGGGCTGGAATGAACATTCCAGGAGCTGGCAAGTCTGGCCAGGAGCTTGACTGGGACCTGGCCGGGAGGCCCTTGCTAAGTGCTGGGCCACCAGAGGCGGTGCATTTCCGGGCAGGTCCCTCGCTGTTCACTGGGGCAATGGACCCTGGGAAGCCAGCCTGGTGGGCACTATAGGTTCTGCCTGTCCCTGTTGCAGGAACCCAGCAACACAAGACAACAGTGCCTTGGGCTGTGTTCCTGTTGGCGGCTCAGGTCCTGTGGGTGGCCCTGGAGACCACTGTCTCATGAGCACCACGGGGGCTGAGGCATTGCGCAGGCCTCAACTCCACAGCGCAGTCCACAGAGGACAACTGCCCGGGGGGGCCCCACCTCCTGCCATCCCTTTCCTTCATGGTTCTGTGTGGCCACAGAGTCGCCCAACTACACAGTATCTGTTTTTAGCCTTGGCCCAACATCTGGGTGGTGCCTGCCACCTGGTGGACACTTGATAAGTGTTAGTGTGTGTGGCAGGGGGAATGCCACACTGGTGACAAAGCGCTGTGACCAATGAAGGATAAAGGCACCGTATGCTGTGGGAGCCACCCTGGGGGACCTGTCTGAGGTTGCCGCGGCCACAGGTGGTTTAAGACATTAGAAGTGCGCCGTGTCAGTCCTGGAGGCCAGAAGTCCACAAAAAGAAGTGGCAGGGACAATGTCTTGGGGTAGCGGCCCTCCTGACGCCCCTGGGCCGTGGCTGCAGCCCTCCGATCACACGTCTGTCTCCAGCTGGCTCAGATCTCCCTCTGCCGCTCTTGGGAGGACAAGTGGCATTGGACTGCCGGAACTCAGGGATCCCAGATGGCCGCACCGAGAGACCCCGGTCTTCTTCCACACAGCCTCGTTCACAGGGTGCACCTGTGTACCCCGAGCCCAGTCCAGGGGACAAAAAGGGGTCAGGAGGCCTGGACCAGGTTGGAGCACATGGAATGGCTAGGCAGGGATGGCAGTGCCACACCTCTGGAACTTGGGGAAGAACATCTCCCTGTGGTGACAACACCCCTACAGAGGGCACAGATCTGGGGACTGGGGGCTCGCCACTCTGATGTCTACATCTTTACCTTTGTGGCTGTCCAGGTCACCCTGGTTCTCGTGAGCTTCGGTTTTACTGTGCAAGAAAATCAACCTTGTGTTGCCGGGGTGTAGCCGACCAGCATATTGTTGGTATAGACGAACGGCTTACAGCAGAGGGCAAAAGACAGACTGTGAGGGTAACACCGACTCTCCCACTGATCCCGTAACAGGTGTCATCATTTCCACGGGACAGAGGGGAAGCTGAGGCTCAGAGAGGCGCAGTGACCCAGCACTGAAACCTGAGCACAGTTCTGGCTGGCTCTTCCCCATGGGCAGTGCCTGGCCAGAGATGCGCACAGTCCTGGCGGCGAGGGAGAGGGAGAAAATAAGTCCCCACCCTGACATCCACACCACTGTCCCTAGAGGTGTGAAAAGGTGGTATTACGTGACAAAGAGACTTTGCAGATGTGACTAAGGTTACAGACCCTAAGAGGCCAGGCCGGACAACCCAGATGGGCTCAATCGGATCATGCAAGTCAGCCAGGCTGGGTGGCCACACCCGTGAACCCGGCCCTTGAGAGGCGGGAGGATGGAGAGTCCCTGGCCTGGCTACACAGTGAGACCTTATCTTAAAAAAAAAGAAAAAAATACATATATATACATTTTTTTTCTAAATGGCACCTGTACTGAACACGTACAGACTTCTTTTGCGTGCCCAGAATCCCTAAGTAGTGCGGGACACCTGCTAGTTACAGAGCAATGACACCATGAGGGGATTACAAAGTCATCCATGGGCCATTTCCAGTGATGGGAGGACATGCATGGGTGACACACGCACACTGATCAGACTGGGAGTTTTCAGCTGCTCCATTTCCAACCTGGGCCAGTTTGCCCCTCTCAAGGTCACCTGGTAGTCTCCTGCTCCCAAGGCCACTATATTGAGGCTGAACTTACCGTGGCCACCGGCCACCACAGCACACTGTAGCCCTGAGCTCCAGGGGCCTCCATGTCAGCCTCCTGAGGAGCTGGGACCGCAGGCACAGTGCATGTGGCTTTGTTTGAGGTTTTGTCCCCGTCACACACACGCAAGATGACAGCGCATAGAATGCTAGCTTCTCTCCCTCAGAGGTCAAGTTTCTTCCAACCCAAGCAAGCCCACCAGCATCGGGAAGGCCTGCCCCCCAGCCTGTACACTGACAACCACCTTTGGAATACAAATCACACCTGCATGGCTGGCCAGGCCTCACCGCACCATCTTGGCCCCCCTCGCTCATGCTTGGCAAGCACTCTGTGGCTGAGCTGCCCCTCTTACATCTCAGTGTCCCCAAGCTTGGCCCGCTGCTGCACCTTCTCAGCAATCCACAGGGCCAGCTCGGGTCCCAAGGCACCGCGAGGGGCCTGGCTTGGCCTGGTCACTCCACGGGAGGCAGGGCCACCGTGATTTTTTGACCCAGGACGTTTTATGCCCTCACCACACAGGGCCACCTCAAGTTCTAATTATGTATTTGCCACTCCTGTACTTGCTTACTGCTTCTGTATTCATTTTGGGGGTGCTGGGGATGGAGTCCAGGGCCTTTGCTCATACCAGGCAAAGACGTACCCCCCCTCCCAGGCTGTGACAAGGGTCAAACAAAGGCCCTGTCACAGTCACTGTACTTATGCAAGTGACAGCAGGATCCTATCCATCTCAGAGATCTGGAAGGGACATCCCTGCTGTCCCTTCTCCACCCAGGCCTCACGCGGCCACGCTCAGAGCTGCCACTGTTACTCGGCCACTTCCCAACTTCACTTTCTGGTTCGCTGTTATCCCTGTCACTAGGCTGAAGTTCCGAGAGAGCTGAGAGTTCTAACTGGTCTCAGAGCCCAGCCTGAATACAGCGCCGGATCTGCCCAGATCGAAACTCCAAGGAGGAGTGAGTGAGCGAGTGCTATAAACGAGCAAACTGCAGGACGAAGAACCAGGCTAGTGGACAGAGCTGCTCGGGAAGGCCAATTCCCAGTCTGAGCCCCTCGTGTTCCTATCAAGTAACAATAAGTGACAGGTGGCACTCTCAGTCACAGAGCAGACGGAAGGGCAGATAAAAACTTTATATGTTGGTGGTACTGCGATTCGAACTCAGGACCTTGCACTTGCTAGGCAGGTGCTCTGCCACTTGGGCCACACCCACAGGCCTTTTTGCTTTCCTTATTTTTTGGATAGGGTCTCACATTTATGCCAGGCCAGCCTGGACAACGATCCTCCTGTTTATGCTTCCCCTGTAGCTGGGATGACATATGTGCCACCACACTCAGCTTTTTATTGGTTGAGATGGGGTCTCACTCTTTGCCCAGGCTGGCCTGGAACTGCAATCCTCCCAATCTCCTCCTCCTTCCCAAGTAGCTGGGATTACAGGTGTGTGCCACTGCCACGGGCACAAATAGGGATTTTTTGAGCCAGGTGTGGTACCTCACCCCTGTAATTCCAACACACCAGGGAGGTTGAGCCAGGAGGCTCACAAGTTCCAGGCCAGCGTGGGCGGAGGAGAACTAGGCAGTTAGGAGACCTGATGGCTGAGGACTGTGGCTTGGATGTTGATAAAGGATCAGATCCTAGGCTGCTGATGTTTAACAAAATGACTTGTGCCACACAGCACAGTCTTGCTGACCTGCAGCTTCTGGAGCTCACAGAAAATAACAGCCTCAGTCTGACCATCCAAGGCCAAAACTCCCCTGCCTAACACGTGGGAGAGATGATAACATGGAGCCCAGGCCAAGAATTAATGACACGTAACCCAGTTTCCTAGGACTGACCATCCCTACCCTGCAGACCCCAAAAAAGCTTGAGGTCCTGGGACCCCAGTACAGCTCCCTCTTGATTCGGACCCCCCTCCTATTAAGGGGCACCTTTGCTTTGCACAGCTGGCTCTGGGTCCTAATAAAGTTTGCTTCTCCTGCTTGTCTGTCTTGGTAAATTCCTTTATCAACCCATAGAACCCAAAATCCACGACACCCAGTCTCAAAAACGAAAGAGAGCCCGTGCGTTATCATGAAAGTCTGTGATCTCGAGATCAAGTTCAATATGGGCAATGATATCGAGACCCCGTGTCAAAATACAAACAAAATGGGCAGGGGACAATTTGGTGGGACTCTTCAGCGAGGGTAGAGCATATGACCAAAGTACACTGCATGCATGTATGGAAACCTCGTAATGAGTGAAAGCCATTTAAAAAATTCCCAAAAGCCGGGCGTTGATGGCTCCCACCTGTAATCTCAGCTACTTAGGAGGCTAAGACCGGAGGATCGTGGTTCCAGGCCAGCCTGGGCAAGTAGTTCCTGAGACCCGCCCCCCCTCCCCCCCACACCACCAATATTCAAAATAACCAGAGAAAATTGGGCTGGTGGGGTGGCTCAAGTGATAGAGCACCTGCTTTGCAAGTGCAAAGCCCTGAGTTCAAATTCCAGTCCCCCCAAAAAAAAAAAAGTACAGTAACGCAAACACCTCCCTCCCTCCCTCCCTCGTCTTCCAATAAATAACACAAACTGCTACCAACGATTACGCTCACTACCCAGGGCAGAGGCGCGCGGGGCAGACGCGGCAAGAAGAGCAAAGGCTTTGAGAAGTGACCGGCCGCCACCTCGAAGCGTCCTCCGCCCCCAGCGTCCCCCCCCAGCGCCACCCCCCTTCACCCGCTGCGCCTCGTTGATGCACTGCTGGTAGCTGCCGATGTAGAAGGCGTTCTTCACGTCGAACAATTCATCCACCTCCCCAGAACCACCGGGGACCGGGCCGGGAGCTGGCGGAGCCATGTCGCGGTCTTTCTCACCCGCAACTCTTCCTGAAAGACACGTAGAACGGAAGTAGAGCCCCTGCGGCGGGGCACCATGGGAAGTGTAGTTTACCCTTTCGAGTGGCGTTGAATGAGCCAATGGGAGGCTTTAAACGGGAGTAAAGGGGCGGGCAACGCAACCGCGTCTCGCAAGGCATTCCGGGATTTGTTGTTTTACTGGATCCTGCCGGCGCATGGGATTCGGGGAAACAAAAGGATGCGCTCGAGGCTAGGATTGGCTGAGGGAGCTGGAGAGGGTGGGCCCACATAGGAATCAGATCCAATAAACGTGGAAGGAGTGTGTGATGTCACGGCCACGCGCCGGAAGCGCTTCTCCCAGGGTTCCCACGGTTGGTGGCGAGGATGGCCGGCTTCGCGGAGCTTGGACTGTCATCGTGGCTGGTGGAGCAATGTCGGCAGCTAGATTTGAAGCAACCCACGCCCGTGCAGCAAGGCTGCATTCCCGCCATCCTGGAGGGTGAGTGGCCCAGCGCCTTCCCTAAAAGTCATCTCTGCTTTTTGCCTCCTTTCCCATCTCGCAGCCTGTGCCCAGGCAGATCCCACGAGGCGGGGCCGGGCAGCCTTGGGTGTTTGGGGAACCCAAGTTCCAGAAGGATTTAGGGCATGCGAGTGGCTCGTGTGTACACACACTACTGGTGCCATCTTTGAAACTTTGCCTCCAAGGGAAGGGTTTGATGAACAACTAATCGACAACGCTGAAAATTTGGGAGAGCCGGCACTATTTTATCTTGACAAATAGAAACCCAATTTGTCAGAATTATCGGAAAATCCAGGATTCCTTGGTCCTAGGACTGCTCTTCTGGCCCGACTCAGTTTTTGCACTTAAGAGATACCCGGGAAACTTGGGGATGGCACACGTTGAGGGAGTCAAAATAAACCAAGGATCAACAAAGAACACTGGACACAGACAGATTCAGAGTTCCCCAAACTCAGATGCTCGGGGAATATGTCAAAATTACTAGCAACATCTCAGGCCCTTCTCATCAGCTGGTGAGCCTCCGAGACTCAGTTTCCCCCTCCGTTCAATGGAGCGAACAGCTTGTCTTGCTAGAATTTGTCCATTGTCCGCAGCGGAAAAGGCAGAGGTCAGGACTTGGTGCACAGTGATGACTCACCACGTGCTGGCTGTTGTGGGTTTGGGGTGCAGCTCCATGGTGCACGAAGCCTGGGTTCCGTCCCCAGCACCGCAAAACAAACAATGGTGGACGAGTAAACGTTAGCTGAGGCAAAAAATCGCTCAAGAGATGAGCCATTTGCACGTGCATTCAGTGCGCGCGGTTTGTCTTTCTGTCCAGGTCGGGACTGCTTGGGCTGTGCCAAGACGGGCAGTGGCAAGACGGCGGCATTCGTGCTGCCCATCCTGCAGAAGCTGTCTGAGGATCCCTACGGCATCTTTTGCCTCGTCCTGACTCCCACCAGGTGAGCCCCGCATCAGCCCCAGGGCGGGAGTTAACCGCTGTTTCTTTCCTCAAGCGCCTATGCCTCTCTGCGCCACGTTTTTCCCACGTGTGACATGAGACGAAAGTCACCCTGCAGAATTAAATCAGATGGTGTGCGTGACAGGCCTCAGCACGGGGCTGACTCAGGTGGCAGCTGTGAGCGGTCACAGCCCAAGACCTGCCTGCAGGTCAGAAAGGGCGCTGGGGACTGGGATTTACAGCCAGTGAGAACATGGCCTCCAGCGCCAGGCGGAGGGGAGAAATGACTCTGAGGACGGGGGCCAGGCCAAGGCCTGGAGACCGGCCAGTCTGGGAGAAGGGGATGCTGATGGCTGGGGCCCTGGCTGGGGTGGCTGACCGGGCGGGGCAGGGGACATGGGAGAAGGGACAGGTTTGGGGTGAAGGAAGAGTGGCCATTGAGCATTCTGGGCTGAGCCCATAGCAGGCTCCTGTGCTTAGCATCCGCCTCTGTGCAGAAGATACTGGGAGCTGGGAGGGAGAATGAGGCAGGAGGAGTGGGGGGCAGCGCTGAGCACCCCCAACCCCAGCGGCCCTTCCTGCCCGCAGGGAGCTGGCCTACCAGATCGCAGAGCAGTTCCGGGTGCTGGGGAAGCCGCTGGGCCTGAAGGACTGTATCATCGTAGGCGGCATGGGTAAGGCTCGGGGGAGGGGGGAGCCCTGGGCATGGGAGCCCCATAGCCTCCAAGCCCCTCAGCCGTCCTCACCTCTTGCCCTTCACCCCAGACATGGTGACCCAGGCGCTAGAGCTGTCCCGGAAGCCACACGTGGTCATCGCCACGCCAGGCGCCTGGCCGACCACCTGCGCAGTTCTAACACCTTCAGTATAAAGAAGATCCGCTTCCTGGTGAGCTGGCCTGGTGACCCTCGCCCACCTCAGTCTGGGCTCTGGTTCATGTGCTCAGGAAAAGTACGAGGAGCAGCCTGGGGGCTGAGGGCATGGCTCAGTGGCAGAGCACCTGCCTGGAAAGCACAAAGCCCTAAGTTCAAACCCCAGTAAAAGAAAAAATAGAGGCTGGAGCTAGTGAAGACGGCAGGCGCCCAGTCTGGCTGAGGAGAGGGGCCGGAGCCCACAGCCAAGCCAGTGGAAAGGGCAGACGGGCTGGCGTGCGGCTCTCCCAGCAAGCTCAAGGCCATTGGGGAGGGTGGCCAGTGGTGGACAGTGGCCTGCTCCCTCCCGCCTGGCCTGCAGGTGATGGACGAGGCGGACCGGCTGCTGGAGCAGGGCTGCACCGACTTCACGGTGGACCTGGAGACCATCCTGGGGGCCGTGCCTGCCCGCAGGCAGACACTGCTCTTCAGCGCCACGCTGACTGACACCCTCAGGGAGCTGCAGGGCCTGGCCACCAACCAGCCCTTCTTCTGGGAGGCGCAGGCCCCGTGAGTACCCAGCCATGGGCGGGTCAGCCCCAGACTGGGCAGGGCAGCAGAAGGGAAACTGAGGCTTGACCACCCGCTGTCCCCAGGGTGCGCACTGTGGAGCAGCTGGACCAGCGCTACGTGCTGGTGCCCGAGAAAGTCAAGGACGCCTACCTGGTGCACCTGATCCAGACCTTCCAGGATGAGCATGAGGACTGGTCCATTGTCGTCTTCACCAACACGTGCAAGTGAGTGTGGTGGCCGTCTCCCCACAGCCTGCCGGGCCTGTGCTGCCCGCCTCTGCCCAGGGCTCAAGCCGGGAACCCCTGCAGCTGCTGCTTCTGTGTTTGGCGGTTCCTGGCCTTCCCGGGCTGCAGTCCATCCGCCAGGACGTTGTGAGGATTTCCACCCGCCAGAGGGTCCGGGCCGTCCACGGGGCACGTGGCAAGCAGCTGTGCACTGTTCAGCCCTCCACGCCCAGCCTTGAGGCCAGCTCCTCCCCTACCTCACACAGGCTTTGTGTTCCTGGTGACCGTGGGTCACTGCTCTGCCTCCTGGCCCTCCAGTCCCAGCAGAAGAAGCAGGAGTCTGCCCCGTTAGGTCCAAGGCCCTGGGCTCCAGCCACAGCTCAAGGCCGATTCTCCTCAGTTCGGCCCAGGAGGGGCCCGGGAGATGGCAGAGGCAGAGGCAGGCAGGAGCCGGCACCCCCACCCTTGTCTGTCAGGTGGAGGCAGAGGCGGGCGGGGCGGGAAGGCCAGCCTCAGGACACTGACCCCTTTCCCTCCCCCAGGGCCTGCCAGGTCCTGTGTATGATGCTGCGTAAGTTCAGCTTCCCTGCCGTGGCCCTGCACTCCATGATGAAGCAGGTGTGCCCCTGCCCCACACCCCTCCCCACGCCTCCCCCCGCCCCCCACCTCACCAGCCCTCACAGCCGTCCTCCCCCACTCTCCCGTCGTCCCCGCCCACACAGAAAGAACGCTTCGCTTCGCTCTGGGCCAAGTTCAAGTCCAGCATCTACCGGATCCTGATTGCCACAGACGTGGCCTCACGGTGAGTGGCCCAGGCCTGGCTCAGCCCCTGCAGGGGTGTGTGTGCCACCCCCACCCCCACACCCCCAGTCGTGGCCTCTGAGGCCAGGCAGCCAGCGCCATTGCTGAGTGGCTCTGGTGAGTCTCAGCCTCTTCTTCCAGGGGCCTGGACATCCCGACCGTGCAGGTGGTCATCAACCACAACACCCCCGGCCTGCCCAAGATTTACATCCACCGCGTGGGCCGCACGGCGCGGGCAGGTGAGCGGGCGGGAAGGCACCGCACACAGCATGCACACGCTGCCTTCCACCATCAAAGACGGGGTGGGCAGCAGCGGCTCGGGTGAGTGCTTGCCCGGCACACGCGGGGCCCTGGGTTCCAGCCCAGCACCACGGAAACTAAACAGCCGGGCGTTCCTCTTCACTGGGCAGTGTGTGGCTGTCCCCTGGGGAAAGGGTTCACACTGCCACAGCCCCGCCACGCCCGGTGTCTCAGCCCAGCCCCTTTATCGTCAGGGCTCAGGGAAGGAAGGCAGAAGCCCCAGCAAGCCCTGCTGCTTTCAGCGTCTGTGTCAAGTTCTGCACCTCTTTCTGACCCTGGCCCAGGTGCCAGGGACACAGCCACCGTCCCCCTTCCTGCCAGGGATTCCGTGCTCCTGGAGCTCAGGGATTTGTGCTCCTGGGCAGTCCTAGCCTTCCATCCTGGCCCAGAGGCTCAGGCAGGTTCTGGCTACAGCATTGCCACGTGGCCTTGAGCCAGCCCCTCCCTCAAACATTTTGACCTGCTTTTGCCGGCCTGTGTCCTGCAGCTGCGGTGTCCCCACAGGGCGGCAGGGACAGGCTATCACGCTGGTGACACAGTACGACATACACCTGGTGCACGCCATCGAGGAGCAGATCAGTGAGTGGACAGGGTTTGGATGGGCCACACGCCTGGGGACACCACCCGCCCCCCGACCCTATGCAGCCTGCCACCTGCACACCTGAGCAGCTTGGAGCCATGTGTCCCCACAGGGCCATCAGCCTGGCCAGAGGGACTTGGGTTTCTCAGACCCCAGTGTGTAAATGGTCCCCGAGGCCTGGACACGTGACAGCCACAGGCAGGCCCAGCCTCAATGTTCAGAAGCCCTCTTATCGTCCAGTGGGCCCTGTGCTGCCGGCCCCGAGTGCGGGCTCCCTCCTCCTACTCAGCCTCCCAGGGAGCTGGGACACGGGTGCCGGCTTTGGGTTTATTGATTGATTTATTGGAAACTTTGTCCCAAAACCTGAACACGGTCCTCTCGGTTTCTGTGCGGGATGGGCTGCAGGATTGTAGCATGACCACCCACGTCCCTTCTGTGATGGGCGCAGGTGGCACAGCCAGCCCTGTAGACTTAGGTCCCCATGGGGCACGGGCACTGGGCACATGGCTGTCCCCGCTGTGTCTGTCGTGGAGGACACACGGGCCGGGCGCGGTGGCAGACGCAGCCTTGTGGAGCATTTCCGTGTGGTGGGTGGGACCCCAAGCCACTGACCCCTCGGAGCCCTCCCAGCCCTCGTCCCACAGAGAAGCAGCTGGCAGAGCTGGCGGTGGAGGAGGCGCAGGTGCTGCGGATCCTCACGCAGGTCAGCGTGGTGCGGCGCGAGTGCGAGATCGTGAGTGAGGCGCTGGGCTGCCGGGGGAGGGGGGGGGACACGGGGACGGGGCAGTGGCGTGTTCCTGCGTGGCACGTCCTGTGCGGCGCCCCTAACCGCTGCCCCGTCCCCCAGAAACTGGAGGCCGCGCGCTTTGACGAGAAGAGAGAGATCAACAAACGCAAGCAGCTCGTCTGGAGGGCAAGGTGGGTGGGGCGGGGCCCGCAGGACAGCGAGGGTGGGAGCCTCTCCACGGGTGCCCGGCTCAGCCTCCTGGTCCCGCGCAGGACCCCGACCTGGAGGCCAGGCGCAAGGCCGAGCTGGCCAAGATGAAGCAGAGGAACCGGCGCTTCAAGGACGAGAAGCAGCGGACGCTGCAGCGGAAGAAGGCGGGCGGCGCTGGTCATGGAGGACCTCGGCCCAAGACCCACGGAGAACCCTCGCCTGCCCAGGGCCCAGCCTGAGCGCCACAGGGCCTTTGTGGTTGACCTGAGGGTGTCAGGATCCTCCCTGGGGACCTGCCATCCTCCAAGGAGCCCTGCTCCACAGCACTGCTGGCGCCTTCCCGGAGCCTGGTTGGACTCAGGCTGCAAGAGTGGGGGCCAGTCCTGCTGTGAGGCTGAATGCAGCTCCACGTCCATCGTCCCGGCCAGGGCCACCTTCCAGGGGTCCTGTGGTGCCCCAGAAGGACAGCATTACATGCAGGAGGTGCTCAATAAATGGTCTTTTAGCCTCTCATTCTGGCTCTGGAGAGTGCGGCAGGACAGGTGCTTGGTGACCACCAGCGTTTCTCACCTTTCCCAATGCGGCTGGCCCACCCACCCGGAGCTCTGCCGCCAGGGCACGACCTCGGCCTCAGTCTCCCCAGGTTCAGTCAGCTGGCTGTCGTTGGAACCAACTGGAGGCTTCAGGGTTGCATCCTTGGTGCGTCCCTGATGCCCACGCTGAGCCGTGGTCACGATGAAGGAGTGAGCCAGGGGCCACCAAGCAATGTGGAGGAAGCCAGGCTCCGGGCCACATGGCCACACAGCCGGGCGAGGCAGGAGGCGCGGTAAGGACGGCGGGGTACCGGGGGCCGCACACCACACAGGCAGCCACGCTTAGAAGTGTAATGCGGGCACCGCGCCCGGGATTCTGGAACTACACTGGGAAATGCTCGAGAACAGCCCAATGGCTGCGGCCAGCCCCAGACTGCCCGGTCCCCCTGGTCCCCGCCAGGGCCAACGCTCCACTGTCCCCTGCGCTCGCAGAACGGCCCGGGACAGCAGACTCAGGGCGCAGCCTCGGCCAGGCGGGCCAGGCCTTCCCGAAGCTCGCTCAGCTCGAACAGCCGGACGTCCAGCAGCTGCGCCGCGCGCCCCACTCGGCCCGCGCCCGCTCGCGCTCTGCCCGCGCCTCCTCCAGGCTGCGCTCCGTCGCCCGCAGCTTGGTGCTCCAGCTCCGCGTTGCGTGTCTCGAGGTCCTGGGGGGACAGGGCGAGCAGGCTTGGGAGGCGTGCCCAGCTTTTGGAGTCATCCTCGAGTCCTGTAAACCCCCCTGTCCCATTTTTGGGTCGCACCCCCTCTACCCAACACCGCCTGCTCCCCAGCCAACCAGACTGGGTTCAAGAGCGGCCTCTACGTCCCCAGGCTGGGGGGTATTTATACTTGATGGGGTCAAGCCCTGGGATTCTGCGTGACTCCAAAAGCACTTGCACAAATGGACGGGTGTGAAGCGTACCTAACGGGGTCTGCCCACTTCACAACCTTGATCCCACTTGCCCCAAGTCTGTCCTACCCCTGGGGCTGGCTGCCCGCCCTCCCTCCGTCACCCCACACACCTGCACCTTCTGCTGTGTCTCCTCGCGCTCCGCAGCGTCCGAGGCTTCTCGGGGTCCCATGGTCTGGTTTTCAGTGTCTGGATCTCCTGCAGAGGAAGGGTGCGTGTGTCTGTTCTGGGGTCCTCGGCTGCCGAGAGGGAGGTGAGGGAAGGTGAGGCTGGGGACCCCACTCTGAGCTCACCTGGTCTTTGGTTTGCACACGTGCCTCCAGCTGCTCCAGCGCCTGACTGGGCACCTCCTTCTCGCTGGCTTGGGGGGCCTCTGCAGCTGCCTGGGCCTCCAGCTCGGCCACCTGCAACCCACCGGAAACTCAGCCCCGATTCCCAAGCCTGCACTGACCCCTGCACCCTCCTCTGGGCAGCTCGGGATTTAGGGACTGGGGACCTGGTGAGTCTTTCCTAGTCTCAGGCCCATTTTACAGAACAAGAAACTGAGCTCCAAGAAGTGACCTGCCCACGGCCAGCCCGTGACCCTGGAGCAGGTGGGAAGTGCAGGCTCTGAGGGCCAGCGGGGTCCATGGCAGGGAGGGGCATCCTCACCCGCTGCCGCAGCCGCTCAGCCTCTGCTCGCTGGGCCTCCAGCTGCTGCCTCCACTGGGCGGCGGCCGCGTTGGCCTCTCGCAGGGCACCCGCTAGCTTATCGTTGCTGTCCTGCAGCGCAAAGAACTCGACCTCCCACTGCACCTCGCCCACCGAGCTGCGGAGACGCAGGGGTCGGCGAGGGCAGGCACTGGACTGGGGGACAGGGGCAACTGGGCAGGGAGACAGAGCAACCCTGGGCTTGGGGGCAGGACAACAGGGCCCGAGGTGTAGTCAGGGTCAGAGGTGGTGCTGGACTGGGGGCGGAGTCACGACTGGTGGGGTCGGTGCTCGGTGTGGGGGTGGTGCTAGGATGGGGGCGGAGCAGCTTGAGATTGGGGCGTGGCCACAGCTAGGGGCGGGGCCAAAATAGCGCTGAGCTAGGGAGTGGGGGATGGGATCGAACCAGGCGCATGGGTCAGCCCAGGAGAACCCCTCAGCCATAAGGGCGTGCGGAGAACTGGATCTGGGGTGGAGGTGCACAAGGTGGGGTTAGCCCGGAGAGGAGGATGGACAGGGCGGAGTCAAGCCTGGGGAGGTGTGGCTAGCCAGTGGGGTTCGTGCGCAAGGGGCAAGTTCCCACCTGGATGGGGCAGGACCACCGGATCAACCTCCCCACACTTCCCTGGTCTTGGGTCTACAGTCAGATTCCGGTGCGGGCTGCACCTGCTCTGCTGGAGAACTCGTCACCCGACACTCCGGATGCCCGCGCCCCTCGCCCCCAGGCAGCCTCCACAGCTCGCTCTGCCCGCCCACTCCCCAGGCCCCGCCCCCGGACGGAAATGTCAACGGGCAACCTGCCCCGCCCACCGGGCAGACCACGCCCACTCATCACTCAGCAGCCAGCGGCTCGATCTCCCCGCCCACCCAGGCCCCGCCCCCGCGCCGCAGGCCCCGCCCACTCACCCCTCGGACAGCATCTTCTTCAGCCGTTCACGCTCGGTGGGGCCGGGGGCGTCCGCGCTCTGGCTGCGGAAGAGTTTCTCCTCTCCAGGACCATTGGCGCTGACGAGGGGACTCGGGGGCACCTACGGGGTGGAGGGAGGAAGGGGAGGGGCGATGTCAGGAGTCACAGTGAACGGGTGGCTTTAGTTCAAGGACCGGTTAGGCTGAGGTCAGCACAGGGGCTACTGAGGTCGTGGCTGAGATCGGGGGGTCCGAATTGCCCTTGGACCCGGGAAGGCCTTGCCATCACTGGGATGGACTCCTGCGCTGCTCACCACCCTCCCTGGCTCCCCACGGTCCCTGGATGGGGACTGAGAGCTGTCGCGTTTTAAGACAGGGGCAGGAAGTCTTCTCTGGATCAATTTGCATTTCAGGGAGCCTCGTCATTTACGGGACTCTGAGTCCTGAGGCCAGCTGCTTCCTCGTCTCCTACCCTGTGCCCAACCCTGGGCCTGGTACACAGAAGGTGCTCGATAAATGCTGCTGAAGAGAGAGAGAAGCATCCAGGGATAGTTCGTTGCTCTGCCTGGTCCTGTCACTGGCGCCTAACTCCAGGTGATGTCACATGACGTCAGGACCCCTATGATTGACGCCCCTGACCTTCCTCTGTGGTCTGTACTGGGCTCTCATTTTAGCTCACCTGTGAGCACCTCACCCTGGGCACCAGCACAGGCAGCGACCCCTCCACCCCCAATTTCAGATGCGTGTCTGGCTGACTTTGGGTGTCCAGGCGTGGGGGACAGGGACCGCTGACCTGGTGGGAGATAAGCCCCAGGGCTGGACTGGTGAGCTCGCCCCCATCCTGAGGCTTCTCCCGGGCCAGCCTGGCCGCTTCTTTCACCTCCTGGAACTTCTCTGCAAACTGGGGGTAGGGCGGGGGGAGAGCAGATGGTCAACAGTCCCCAGTCCCTCTGCACCCACTGCCAGCCCTGTCACCTTGGAAGGGACCTTCAGAACCGCGCACATCCTAATCTCACCAAGGGAGGAAGGTCTGGAAATTATGTCCTCACAGGGACGTGTCCGGCTGACGCTACTGTGTCTTTTAAACCTGACAGCCCTTGACAGCAGCCCCTCTGTCTTCCTGGTACTCAGCGTTTCCATTTTCAACCCAGCTTTGGCAAGCGAGACCGCTTCTCCAGTTGGGCTAGAATGCACTGTTTTATTTTAAAAACAAATTTCCTTTGTTTAAAAATAATTGTGGTGTTGGGCGCTGTGGCGCCCGCCTGTAATCCTAGCTTCTCAGGAGGCAGAGATCAGGAAGATCTCGGTTCGAAGCCAGTCCGGGCAAGTAGTTTGAGAGACCCTATCTCGAAAACACCCATCACAAAAAAGGGCTGGTGGGAGTTCAAACCCCAGTTCAGGAAAAAAAAATACTCAAGCAGTATTTTGAGGTGGCTCAAGCAGTAAGAGCGCCTGCCTAGCAAGTGTGAGGACCTGAGTTCGAACCCTACCTTGGAGCAAGTGACCAGAACCTGAATCCAAACCATGGAAGCGGAAAGGCTCATCTAATTCCGTGTACCCACCCTGCAGCTGGAGCGACTCAGGTGCACAGGGCCCAAAAGACCCAGGGCCGCCCCTCCCCCAGTCCCGCCCCTCCCCCAGCCCACCTGGGTCAGGTGCTGCTCAGAGGCAAAGCCCAAGCCATAGACGGTGTTGGCGCGACTGTCCGCCCACTGCCCGAACTTCTGGGAGGTTTTGGTGAAGGTCATGTTGGGGGTGACAGTGCTGTTGATGATGGCCTGCGGAGGGGGCAAAGTTTAACCTTGATCACGGCCGAGATCGGAATGGATAAGGCCACCTTGCCCGTGGGTCTCAGGGTCCCTGCTGGGAGTGAGGGACCAGCCCAGAAAGGTTCAGCGTGCCACCGAGGCAGAGACCAGCTCCAGGCATGTCCTCCGTCAGCCCCTCCTCCTCTGGTGCCTACACCCCATCTTCCCGCTCCTTCCCCCTTCCAAACCTTGGCACCCCCAATACTGATGATACGGTAGACATTCCGGGTAGCATCGTAAAAATAGGAGACCGTGAGCGCGTGCTTGCCCGCGGGGATCCAGTTCCTCTTGGTGGCCGGGTCGATCTGAAACACGTGTGCTCGTGTGCTGAAGATGGGCTGCTCCCTGCATGGGGACAGGGCACTCAGCGGGGGGTGGGGACAGGGCTGGGGCCAGGCCCAGGTAGGTGTAAGCTCTCACCTGGCTGTGGACATTGGTCAGGCTGGGCTGGGTGGGCCCTTAGGGGCAGCCACGGCGGTGGCAGGCTGGTTTGGCCCCTGGGGAGAGAGAGGGCTTGTATCTGAGAAGGCCAAGCAAGGGGATGTCAGCACCCACGGCCACGTGCAGGGGTCACACAGTCAATCAGCAACCAGCAATCAGAAGAGATCACTCCGCAGCACAGGCAGGAGCCTATTTTTCTGGGGCGTGTGGGGGGTCCATCCCAACAGAAATCTGTCATCGTCCTGATTGCTGGGCCCCATGGGTGCCTCCTCCACCCAGGGACTGGGCCTGGAGGCCAAGGTCAACTGTGCTCAGGATTGACAGCACTCAGCCGGTCCATCACTGCTGCCAGCTACTCAGGCAGAGACGCGGGGATCGCTGAGGCCCAGGAGTTTGGCTACAGAGCGACACCCCATGTCTAAAAATAAAAATGGAGCTTTGCAGGTGCCTGTTGGGAGTCCAGGTCCCCACTATTCCCACAGAGGGACCCCTCAGCGCCCAATCCAAATGCACAGACAGCCGAGCCTGGTGTCCGCCACTGGGGGACAGAGCAGGGTCCAAGACTGGGAGAAATGGGCTCCCTGTCTTCCGGTTCGTTGCCCCAGCCGCCAGCCCAGAAAAGCCAGCCACACCGGGTGGGTGGGGGACTTGCTAATCCCATGCACCCCCAAATCAGAGGATTTGGAAGCGAGGGAGTGCTAATGGGGGAGGGAGGGAAGTCCGGCGACTCCGAGGTCGGGTGGGGGGGTGGTGTCCCCCCCATCCTGTCCTGGGCAGCTGCTGTGGCGGTCACAGGTCTGAAACCCGAACCCCTAAGTGGGGGAGGGGCGGCAGCTCGGGCCTGGGCCAAGCCGGGGTGACGGGGTGACGGGGTGACGGGGTCCCCGGAATGCAGGCCCTTCCGGCCGCTCCTGCCGCGTTCGGGAAAAGTTACTCACCAGCCAGTCATGCGCTGGGCGGCCGCTGGCCAAGGGGGACCCAGAGGGGGGCCCGACACCCCCACCCGGAACCCCCCTTCCCGTGCACCCCACTCGGGGGGTCCCCACCGCGTGAGGTCACCTCATGCGCGCCCCAACTCCGGACACACCCGCAACTTCCACGGTCCCCAAGACGCTCGCTCCCCGAGTCCGGGTGCACAACTTGGGGGGCCCCCTCCTCTCCTTCCTCCAACCTCAGGTCCCCAATTTCGGGGACCCCCGCCCTCGCCCCGCCTCCAGTGGCCCCCGCTCCAGAACTTTGCAGACGTCGTCCTCCGCGCTGCTCCCGATCGCTGAACTCTGGGGACCCCCCCCGCCATCCCTCCAGTCCCCGGCCTGGAACTTCGGGGGCCCCCGTCTCCGCGCCGCTCCTGCACCCCAGAACTTCGGGGACCCCTTCGCGGTTCTGCAGTGAGGAGTCAGCGACTTTGGGGACCTCCCGCGCCATGCCATCTCCTCCCCGACTCGGGAACTTCGGGACTCCCGCGCCCCCCACCCCCGGCCCCGAGCTTGGAACTTGGGGTCCCCGAACCGCGCCCCGCTCACCGCGCTCCGACTCCGCACCCGCGCCGCGCTCGCTCGCCCGCCGCCTTTGTCTGCGCCGCCTCCGGTCCCATCGCGGCGCGGCCGCCGCCGCCCCCCGCCTCCGGCCTCCGAGAGCCCCTGCGCCCCCTGCCGGCCCGGCCCGCGGGGGAGGGAGGGGGAGGGAGGGCGGGGAGGAGACTGAGGGGAGGGGCAGGCCCGGGAAGGGGGCGGGGTGGGGGAGGGGTGAGGAGTGGAGGGGGAAGGGAGGTGGGATGGGGAGGTTGGGTAGCGGGAAAGGGAGGGGCGGAAGGGGAGGGAGAAAGGGGAGAGGGAGGAAGAGGGAGGGCGGGGAGGGGGAAGGGAGGAGGTCGAAGGGAGGGGTGGGGTGGGGCGGAGAAGGAGGGAGGGGAGAAAGGAAGGGGTGAAGAGCGAGTGAGGAAGGGGGAGGGCGGGGAGAGGAGGGGAAATGGAGGGGTGCGGAGGGGAGGTTGGGGTAGCGGGGAAGGGGGAGGGACAGAAGGAAGGGGGAGGAAGAGAAAGGGGAGGAGGTCGCAGGGAGGGATGGGGTGGGACAAGGAGGGGGAGAGGGTGTGAGGAAGGGGGAGGGTGGTGTGGGACAGGGAGGGTGAGGAAGGGGGAGGGGTGGAGGAGGACTAACGGGGAGGGGTGGGGAAGGGGAGGGTGGGGTGGGACAGGGAGGGGGCGAGGGGTGGGGAGGGGCGGGGGGGACAGGGAGAGGGGCCAGGGGTGAGGAAGGGGCAGGGTGGGGTGGGACAGGGAGGGGTGAGGAAGGGGGAGGGGTGGAGGAGGACTAACGGGGAGGGGTAGGTCGGGGAGGGAGGGGGAGGAGCGAAGGGGTGTGGAAGGGGGGAGGCCTAGGGGGGGAGGGGCTGTGGGGTGGGGCGACGGGGAGGGGTGGGGGAGAAGGATGGGGGCGAGGATGGGGAGGGGGACAGACCTGAGCGACTGGCGCAGGAGGGAGGGGGGAGGCAAGGCTGGGGTGCAGGGGTGGAGAAGGGGGTCTAGGCTGGGGTAGGGGTGCGGATAGACCGACACAGACGGACATCCCTGTCGGGAGGAGAGAGACAAGGGGAGACAGGAAGCAGATGGACAGACGAGTTCTGGGGACAGGGATATGTGCGGTGGCCTTCCAAGGTCCAGCCCTGACCCTGATGGGGAAGGGGAGGGGCGCGCTGCTGGCTCCTGGGGTCTCAATACCAGTGGCGCCAATGAGGCTGGAAGCCGTGCGGGGGGGGGGGGGCATCAGCCTCCAGCCCAGCCCCTGTCCACCTCATGTGTCCCTAAAAACCAAGAGATGGCTGGGGGGGGGGGGTGGGAGGCCCATGGCCAAGTGCCACACCGCAAAGATTGTTTTAAGTAGTCCCAGCTGCACTGACTCTGAAGCCAGGGGTTCAAGGCCAGTCTGGGCCAAAAGGTGCCGTCCCATCCCCGGCCCCCTACAAACTCTGGTAGCGCCTGGATTATCATTTAGGTCCTTGTGCTGAGGGTCCCAGAATCAAAGGGCCACCGCGGGGTGTGGCTGCCTGCCCTGGTCCCACACCCTGGGTGAGGCCACCAGGAGCCCCGCGCGGGTCCCTCTGTGAGCCTGGTGGCTGCCCCTTCTCTGGAGACCTCTCAGTGCCTTTGGGGTGACCGGCCCTGTGGCCGCTAAGGTGTGAATTCAGTCTGGAGACTGAATCTTGGGACAACGCGTGGCTTTTCTATGGCTTGAGCCACGCGCCCAGTCCTTTCCGCTCTGCTTATTTTGCAGATGGGGTCTCCTGAACTGTTTGCCCAGGG